ATTTCATTTGTTCTAAACACGAGATGGAGTGACATACCGGAAGAAAGATGAAAGTGTTCCTCAGGGTACTGAGACACAGTGGTTCCTTTCATTTAGTTTTGAGAGTAGGAGACCTGTCAATCAGCATCAGGGGCCCTTTATGACCCCAAAAGGTAGGACATCAACAAGCCAGGCTTGTAGGTTATAAGGTGTGTGAAATTCTTAGGCTAGTAATTGATTAAGATGAAAGAAAACAGAGTTTCGATTCCCAAAAGAAATCAGGTGAAGAAAGTCTGTGCTTTACTCTAAGAGATAAGAAGGCTTAGGATGTATCATAAAAACACGGGGGTGGGGGGCAGGATGTAGCATTCCACCTGCAATGAACCAACGTGCGCTGCTAGTGTTTGTAGGTGGGACTCTCCCAGGCCCCATGGAGACAATTTTGGAATAGAAAAATGTGGTCAGAATTCTGACCCTCTGGGTCCCAAGTAGATAAGGCAAAGTCCTGTTGTTTCCTTTCTATCCTTCGGCCACTGGGCCCAAGGCTTGAGTGTAGCAGTGAGAAGTAGAATAGACAAAGCCCTAGCTTCGGTTTCCCATCCAGAGACCCAAAATGGGGAGTCAGGGAAACAGAAAGTCCGAGGGAGATGATCGAGAGCAGCTCCTTGAAGTTGTTTCTGACATCTTGGGTTCACTTCAAACTATGCATGCATGTGTGTGATTTTAAACAGCATACCATCCCACAATCCCTTTGTGGTCTTTCTTTCCAACTTAGGTCAGGTGTAATGGCTCCTGCAAAGAAGGGTGACAAAAAGAAGGACTGTTCTGTCATCAGTGAAGTGGTGGCCTGAGAACACCCATCAACCGTCACGAGCGTATCCGTGGTGTGGGCTTTAAGAAACATGTCTCTTAGGCACTCAGAGAGATTCAGAAACTTGCCATGAAGGAGATGGGGACTCCAGATGTGTGTACAAATACCAGCCTCTGGTATTTGTCCAGGCCAAAGGAATAGGGAATGTCCTATACCACATCCACATGTGGCTGTGCAGAAAACAGGACAGTAAGGAGGACGAAGATTTGCTCAGCAAGTTCTACACTCTGGTGACTTATGTATCTGTTACTGAGACAGGAATTGGACCCAGTGAGTAGGTAAATAGGGCACGGGTCCCCAAGGAGGAGTCACCATGGTAGGAAATGGACACACACATATATTAAGATAGAGCCAGCTTCTAAAATGGAGTTGCTCTGGTCAAGCTTTTGAGAAGGGTTGTTTACTGCTCTCACTAAAAGCCAAATACTAGCTCTCACTGCTTGCTCACAAAGAGTTTCCTATAACCAGAGCTGTTTTACAGCTTGTTTCATCAATCATAGCCTATCAAGGAATGCAACCAGACCCTCTTTGAAGGTTCTTTCCTCCCACGCTTCCCACCTGGCTCTTGGCACCAGGAGGCCTGTTATCTTCCTTCTGCTCTCCCAGATACACACAGAAATTGACCACTGGGATGGGACACCAAGTCAACATCAGGGCAGTACATCCAGACATGGACGCTAATACCTGCAACGACCACGCCAGGCGTGTGTGATGAGATCATGAAATCCCTCAGCTGAGAAAGATGCACAGCACAGGAAAAGGCCCACATAGCAAACAAAGAAGCCAGATACCATGACAGACCTTCCCCTGCTAAATACTCATCACCAACCCTCAAATTAAAAGTGACATCTAACCTCATGCCCAGTGCAGTTGTCCTCTGACAGCTGCCCACCCTCATGCCTTTCAGGCATGGGATTGTATTTCCTTCCTATTAGGAATCTTTACTTTTCTATGAAAACTTCTTGTTTCCTACTTTACATGCATTTGTGGTTTTTCATTCTGCATCTCAGGACAGGTCTCAGAAATCTGGATCTAAAGGACCAAGGATTTTACACCCTGCAGCTCAGCTCCCCCATCCTATAGCAGTGCTCCCTGCAGGCAGCTCACCTCCTGAAAGCTTGTTTTGAGCAGATTAAGCTCGTCAAGGAGGTAGCATTTCTCCTCAATATGACAGCCAGTCCTTCTGCAAGTCGCTTCTCTCTTCTCACAGAGTCAGCTCTCTTCTTCTTAATTAGTCTGGCTAATGGTATGTCAATCTCGTTTACTTTTTGAAAGAACCGGCTTTTGCTTTCATTTATTTTCTGTATAGTTTACTTATTATCTATTTCATTTATTTCTGCTCAAATCAGGCAACATTACAACAGACATAATAGAAATACAAAACATCATTCAGGGATACTATGAGCAACTATATGCCAACAAAGAAGAAAACCTGGATGAGATGAACAAATTCCTGGACACATATAATCTACCAACATTGACTCAGGAAGACATAGAAAGCCTGAATAGACCTATAACAGGCAATGAGATTGAATTAGCAATAAATAACCTCCCAACAAAGAAAAGTCCAGGTCCCTATGGCTTCACTGTCAAATTTTACAAACTTTTAAAGAAGAAGTAACCTCCATCCTATTCACACTGTTTCTAGAGATCCAAAAGGAAGGAACCCTTCCAATTCATTCTATGAACTCTCCATTACCCTCATTCCCAAAACAGATAAGGATACGACAAAAAAGAAAAACTACAGACCTGTATCTCTGATGAATATAGATGCAAAAATTCTCAACAAGATACTTGCTAACTATATTCAACAGCATATTAAAAAGGTTATTCAACACAACCAGATAAGCTTTATTCCAGGAATGCAAGGATGGTTCAATATATGCAAAACCATAAATGTAATACACCATATTAACAGAAAGAAAGATAAAAACCATATGATCATTTCAATTGATGCAGAAAAAGCATTTGACAGAACACAACATTCCTTTATGATTAAGACTCTCCATAAAATTGGCACAGGAGGATCGTTTCTCAGCATAGTAAAAGCCATCTATGAAAAACCTACAGCTAACATTATACTGAATGGAGAAAAGCTGAAAACCTTTCCACTAAAAACTGGTACAAGACAAGGCTGCTCACTTTCTCCTATTCAGTATAGTACTAGAAGTCCTAGCCAATGCGACCAGACAAGAGAAGGAAATAAAAGGTATTCCAATAGGGGAAGAAGAGCTGAAGTTATTTCTGTTTGCAGATGACATGGCTATATACATAGAAGACCCAATAGTATCCACAAAAAAAATTCTCAAAGTTAGAAATGCATACAGTAAAGTGGCAGGATACAAAATTAATTTACAAAAATTTATAGCACTTATATATACAAACAACAAGAGACAGAAACAGAACCGAAGGAAGTAATCCCATTTACCATAGCCACAAGAAGTGTAAGATACCTAGGAATAAAACTAAGCAAGGAAGTTCAAGACCTCTATAAGGGAAACTATGAAAACCTGAAAAATGAAATCAAAAAGGACAAAAAAGTGGAAGGACAGCCCATGTTCCTGCATTGGCAGAATTAATATAATCAAAATGGCAATCCTACTCAAATTAATCTACATAGTTAATGCAATCCCTGTAAAATTACAAGAGACATTCTTTACAGATCTAGAAAAGACAATCATGAAATTTGTCTGGAATCATAAAAGACCCCGTATTGCTAAAACCATCCTGAGCAAGAAGGGTAGAGTATGTGGCATCTCATTTCCTGACCCCTAAATATATTACAAAGCTGTGATGATCAAAACAGCATGGTATTGGCACAAAAACAGACATGAGGACCAATGGAACAAAGTAGAGACCCCAAAAATAAACCCCAAGACATACAGCCAACCAATCTTGGACAAAGGATACCAGTCAATCCAGTGGAAAAAGGAAAACTTCATTAGCAAATGATGCTGGAAAAACTGGGTATCTACTTGCAGAAAGATGAATCTGAACCCCTATCTGTCATCATTAACAAAAATCAACTCAAAGTGGAGACCAGCAGGGAACCAGCAGTTAGCGTAATGGCTATGTCGCTGGACTCCCACGTAGTTGACTGCGGTTCGCGTCCTGGACCCGGTGGCTTAAAACTCATGCTGGGCGCATGTGCGTGCGTGCCCAAGATCCCAAGAGGAGAATGGAGGAGAAGGGATTGCGGCATGACCATCCCCTCTGGGGGGTGATTTCTCGCTTTCTGTCTCTATGTCTCTCTCTGTCTGTCTGCCGAGCGCATGTGCCCTATAGCGAAAATCTCTCCAAAAAAAAATAAATAAATAAAAGTAAAAAAAATTAAAAAGTGGGGACCAGCAGTTAGCATAATGGCTATGTCACTCAACTCCCATGTAGCTGACCACGGTTTGAATCCCAGACCTGGTGGCTTAAACTCACCCTGGGTGCGTGTGCATGCATGCCCAAGATCCCAAGAGGAGAATGGAGGAGAAGGGATTGCAGTGTGGCCATCACCCTGGGGGGTGATTTCTCACTTTCTATCTCTCTGTCTCTCTCTGTCTTTCTGGCAAGTGCATGCGCCCTATAGCAACAAACAAACAAACAAACAAAAAAAGACTCTCAAAAAAACACACAAACAAACAAAAAAACCTCAAAGTGGATTGAAGAGCTAAACCTAGGACCACAACCATAAAACTACTGGTGGAAAACACTGGGGAAACTCTGGAAGACTTCTTAAGTAAGATCCCCAAAGCACAGGTAATAATTCCCAAAATAGACAGGTGAGATTATATCAGATTAAGAAGTTTCTGCACAGCAAAGGACTTCATAATTAGTGTGAATCAACAACCCTCAGAATGGGGGAGAATTTCTGTTAACCACACCTCAGATAAGGAACTGATAACCAGAATACACAGGGAACTCAAGTGGCTTACCTAGAAGAAAATGATTAACCCAATTAAAAGATGGGAAATGACCTGAATAAACAACTCTCTAAAGAAGACATCTGAACAGCCAAAACGCATATGAAAAGACACTCAACGTTCCTAATCATAAGGGAGATACAGATCAAAGCAGATCAAAACCACAATGAGATACCACCTAACCAGTCAGAATGGCAAAGATTAAAAAAAGAAAGAAAGAAAGAAATCGCTAAAACAACCTCTTCTTGCACCGAAGTTAAGCACTTCTGCAGGATTTTCACCACCACGCCTTCTGGAGGAATTCACTTGTCACTAAGGTTCTGTCTTTATAAAAAAGCTCACCTTCCATGGCTTCAAAGGGCTAACATGCTGGGGCAAATCACACACAAACCGGCAGAAATGATCAGTTATACTGACGTCATTGTTTAACGATCATGAAAGAAGGCAGTGCAGTGGGACAGACCGTATCCGATAACAATGGGGGTGGAGTACATGGAATTAAAGTGTTCTTAGATGACTTCATTGCCCAGCAAGTGGGGGAAAGTTCTGATTAGCATTAATCTTTGGTAAACCAAACCAGAATGTCATAATACCCTGGGCATATACTAATGGCATAAAACCAGAATGGAGCTGGCCTCGTAGCACAGTGACTTAAATACTGGGCTTAGGGAGCTAGACCCCACGTGTCCAACTGTGGTTCGAGTCCCGGCCCTGGCAGCTTGAAAACATGCTCTTCATGTGTGCATGCATGCCCATCATTCTGACAGGGTGCAGGAATGAAGGACAGTGTTGTGGCATGACCAGACTCCACTGGGACTGATTTCTCTCTCTCTCTCTCTCTCGTGAGCACACACATTATATGGCAAAAAAAAAGAAAAAGAAAAATGATGTAATTTGGAAACTAGCCAAGGAGAACTGAAATGATTAAAACACATACCTAGTCAAAAACAAGGAAAAAAGAGAGAAAGGGACATGGGGCGCATGAAACAAATAGTTGCCATGGTAACCCAGTAGAAATGAATTAAATGAAAAATTAATACATTAGCTATTAATAGACTGTGAAATGAAAACAAAAGAAAACAACTAGTATCATTTATAAGCAATATGTTTGAAAAGCAGAAAAATTTTAAGTTAAAAAAAGGAGAGAATATGGGGCCAGCAGGTGGCGGAGTGGTTAAGGTGCTGGACTCCCACGTGGCTGACCACAGTTCAAGTCTTGGACCTGGCAGCTTGCTTTCTCACTTTCCCTCTCTCTCTCTCTTTCTCTCTGTATCTCTCTCTGGTCAAATTAAAATAAATGAATAAAGTAAGTATTTTTAAGGTACATGTAATTATTAATTTTTTTAGAGAGAGAGATTTTTTTGCTATGGGGAATATGCATTCACCAGAGAGACAGACAGAAAGTAATAAATCACCCCCCCTCCCGGGGGGGAGGATGGCCATGCCACAATCCCTTCTCCAACATTCTCCTCTCAGGATTTTGGGCATGCACACATACGTGCTTGTTGTGAGTTTCAAGCCGCTGGATCCAGAACTCAAACCGTGGTCAGCCACGTGGGAGTCCAGCGCTGTAATCATTACGTCATCTGCTGGTCCTGATATTAACTAATTTTTTAAAAATAATTATTTATTTAATTTCATTTATCATCATTTTTAGTTTTTAATTTGTTACAGGACATGTGCACTCACAAGACAGAGACAAAGAGAGAGAGCGAGAAGACCAGATCCAGGACTCAAACCATGGTCATCCATGTGGGAATCCAGTGTCTTAGCCACCACATCACCCGCTGACTCCAATATTCACTATTTTTTTAAAGGACGATTTTATTTACCTTTATTTATTTATTTTAATTTGACCAGAGAGGGATAGAGTGAGAGAAAGAGGGAAGGAAAGTGAGAGTACAAGCCACCAGGTTCGAGACTTGAACCACGATCTGCCATGTGGGAGTCCAATGCCCTTAACCACCGTGCCACCAGCCAGCCCCAATATTAACTAATTTTAACATATGTCTAAGAGAACCAGTGCACTGAAATCAGCAATATTATTGAATTGATTCGAACCAAGTGATTGCTATGGTTTGAAGGTGTCCCAACCCTTGGGCCAAATTCATGTGTGAAAAGTTGGTGAGGAGACCAATAGATGGCATGGTGGTTAAGGCTCTGGACTTCCACATGGCCAACTGCGGTTCAAGTCCTGGACCTAGAGACTTGCTTTCTCACTTTCCCTCTCTCTCTGGTCAAATTTTATATAATAAAAACAATTAATAAAATAATTCTTAAAAAAAAAAAAAGATGGAGAGGAGCCTGCAGGTGGCATGGTGGTTGAGACACTGAACTCCCACATGGCCAACAGCAGTTCGAGTCCTGGACCTGATGGCTTGCTTTCTTTCTCTCTCTTTCTCTCTATCTCTCTCTAGTAAAATTTTAAAATAATAATTATTATAAATAAAATTAAATAAAATAATTTTTTAAATGGCAAGTAATTTAAATAGTGTTGAGAGGATGGAGACTTGACCTATCACAGTATTAGAATGGGGGGGTCTGGGACCAGCAGTTGGCGTAATGGCTATGCCACTGGACTCCCATGTAGTCGACCGCAGTTCGAGTCCCGGATCTGGTGGCTTAAACTCACGCCGGGCACATGTGTGTGCATGCCCAAGATCCCGAGAGGAGAATGGAGGAGAAGGGATTGCGGCGTGACCATCCCCCCGGGGGGTGATCTCTCGCTTTCTGTCTCTCTGTCTTTCTCTGTCTGTCTGGTGAGCACACACGCCCTGTAGCAAAAACTTCTCCAAAAAAAGAAAAAAAAAGAATGGGAGGTCTTCAGGATGTGATTAGACATCAGAGTGAGGCTTGTGTGATGCGTCCTGGAGATTTTCAGGGAGAAGGAATGAGACAGAAACGCCCTCTGCTCTGCTCTGCCCTGCTCCTGCCCTCATGTCTCCATCAGCAAGAATGTCTCACCAAGGTGCCCCTGGTCTTGGCCTCCTGGCTCTGAGCCGACTACACCTCCATTTTCATAAAGCACCAGACTCGGGCAGCGCTGTTGTTAGTGACACAATGGCTGGGGTGGGATGGACAAACCCGACCCAGTGGACGGATTGTGCAGCACCTCGTGACTGCGACGGTCCTTTTCAAGCAAACATGGGACATTTACAAAATTCAGCCGTAAAGCATCTTTTAGCAAATTTCAAAGGAATCAAAACAAAAAGAGCATGTTCTGGGACCACTGTGTAATTATTCTAGAAGCTGACAACAACAACATGCAACTACATACACGGTTTTGGTCTATTTGGATTTTAATAAATGCACTCTTAAATAACCAGTGGGTTAAAGAATCGTAATGGAAATTAGAAACTATTTTGAACTGAATAATAATGAAATGGTAAATAGGAAAATTCATGGGAGATTCAGCTGAAGTAATTTTAAAAGAATTTAATTACCTTTTAAGAGAAAAGGTAATTGTTGCACTAGACATGCTAGGAAAAAATGAACTGAAAATAAGCATTTCAAATGTAGAAAAAGTACAAAAATGAATCCAAATAAATGCAAAGGAATAAAACAATTTTTAAACTAGATAAAAAAAAGGGCACTATAGGGAAGGTCAGCAAAGCTATAAATAAAATTTATCTCAGTAAAGCTATTTTTTTTTAAAGAGGTTTTTGCTACAGGGTGTGTGCATTGGCCAGAAAGACAGAGAGAGATAGAGACACAGGAAGCGAGAAATCACCCCTCCCCCCAGGGGAGGATGGCCACACCACAATCCCTTCTCCTCCATTCTCTTCTTGGGATCTTGGGCTTAAATGCACACACACACACACGGCGTGAGTTTAAGCCACCAGATCCAGGACTTGAACCGCGGTTGACCACATGGGAGTCCAGTGATATAGCCATTATGCCAACTACTGGTCTCAATAAAGCTACTTTTAAAATCAACATTTCCACATATCAGCAATAGTTAGAAAATTCAATTTTTTATTATTATTTTATAATTTGCTCTAAGATGTGTGTGCTCACTAGAGAGACAGAGACAGAGAAGGAGACAACATGAGGAAGTGTCCCCCAGAGAAACAACCTAAATTTCTTCTCCTTCGGGATTTTGGACACGCATGCACACGTGCCCGGCATGTTCCTCGATTCGCCAGGCCTGGGACAAACCACATGGCCGACCACGTGGGATTCAACTATCCCACATAAGCACTATGCCACCAGGTTGGCCCAGAAAATTAAATTCTTAAAGACGATCATTTACAATAACATGAACAAATATCAAGTACCTAGAAATAAACCTAGCAGATTTGCAAGACTCTCTAGAGAAAACGAAAACTTTGCCGAGAGAACTTCAGCAGCCCTAAAGAAGTGACACGCGCACTGGCTGGAACACTTGTAATAAAACATTAGCCCTTCGGCTTACGGTCTGGCATGTGCAGAGGTAGAAGCTGCCATCCTCATCCGCACACAAAAATGTTGAACTGAAAATCAACAGCTCTTCCTAGTCCATCAGAGAACTGGCGTCAAGAGCAAACTGTTGCCCCAAGCTCCAGCTAGAGGGTCCCGACAACCCCGGGGAAACCCAGGAGCAGAACCTGCAGCAGCAGCCAGTACTGCCAGGGATGCCGACACTGAGCAATAGCAGTCAGGGGGTCCCTCGACTTCTGTGTGTTTCACCTCTGCTCCCCCCGACTCCGTGAAGATTGGGGAAGTGGTCCCTAGTGTTTCCAGGGAAAAGTAACCATTTTGTAATACACTGGGTACTCTGGTTCTGCTCATGAGGCCTGTCCCCACGCAAAACTATTTACCACAGCCTAAACGACTTGGGTTTTACCAAAGCCTAACCACCAAGTCACGTCCCCTCTAGCCCTTCTGTCTCACTTACGGGCGGGGGAGTAGAAGGACCAGAGACGCACTGGGAAGGTGACAGGGACAGGGTCTCACTAAAATTGGAGACCTAACAGAATATGGAATGCCGCCCCAACCCCAGCAGCTCCCTACCAGTTCAACAGGTGTCCTGAATTACGACAGGGACTACAGCTCAACTCCTATCTAGGGAGGATTTAGGAAAAGTCAAAGATAACAGGAGAGACGACACTGAGACACCAGAGGGAACTGAGGCCTCAGGCGTCGCGGTTACACAAGCAGCCAATGCAGCCAACTCCACCCAGGGACCCCGGGGGGTGATCTCTCGCTTTCTGTCTCTCTGTCTTTCTCTGTCTGTCTGGTGAGCACACACGCCCTGTAGCAAAAACTTCTCCAAAAAAAGAAAAAAAAAGAATGGGAGGTCTTCAGGATGTGATTAGACATCAGAGTGAGGCTTGTGTGATG